ACTACTTATTAAGATTTGCAACCAGGATGACTGAGAGGTTCTGGAGCAGCCTTCCAAGGAAGGCCCCATCAGCAGGATCCTATTTATTTTCAATGTCCACCTTGGAAAATTAATGGGAGGGGCTGTATAATAAGCAAGAGTGTTCTAGGAATTGGACATTCAAACTTCAGAGACAGAAGACTGCTGCTGTCCAATTTTGTACTATACCTGAGAGAGAGATCTGAAAACAAGCTTGTCGGCATTATGCAGGTTGCACCATATTTATGTAGTCAACTAAACTATTTCTTCAGGACTGGCATTGGTCTCCTGCATTTTTGTTTTACCTCTTGTTGCACGGTGTGGCTCTGTGTTAAGCTCTGTTCCCCCACTGCTCTGAGGCACTGAGGACAGATGACATTCATAAACAGGATATTGGGCCAGATGTGCTCCAATGGTTGTTACTAGACCCCAGAAATGCCAGGCTGGTGTAGCTGGTTTGAGCACTCATAACATTATGCCAAAAGGAACCATTACTTGCCAAAAGGTAATTCTGACTGAGACAGACTTATAGGGATTGTTGTCACCATCTGTTTTATGTCAGGGGTGATTGACTTTGGAAGACGTTTCAGAAATTTTTGTCAAGGACAGCATTGATACCCTTGACATCTCTTCCTCTTTTCCCTTGGCAGATTGGAATTTTCATAAGATTTGGAGCTAAGGGTGTTAATGTATGTTGAGGTTTTCCACGTGACTTGAAGAGGTCTCAGGCTCTTGTCACTCCTCTTGCCCTTAACACCTAATGTATAGATTTCTGCAGTGGAGAAAGGCTTAGGCTAATTCGACTTTTAAACCTCTCTAGCTTTTGGACAAGTTGGGCCTAAAGATGAAAACTTTGCTAATAGTTCCAGGTTTCTGATAGCTCTTTCTATGGTTTGTACAAGCAGAGGCATAGAGTCCTTATTTTCTCTACTGTTCCTTGCACTGTTGCATAAAGGCAAGTTAGTTATACAATAGCTAAACAGGGATTACACAACTTAGCTCCATAAATCTAAATCAGAAACAGAGTTTCTGTTCTGCACTGGGCAGACATAATGTGGAAGGGTGAACTTCTGGTCCTAATGAAGTTAATGGCAAAGCTCTTACTTACTTCAGTGAGATCACAGTTTCATGCAAGATCTTGGCTCAAGCTTGCAGCTGGCTGACCAGGCTGGATATTTAAAGCATATCCCTGTTAAGTTTTTCCAAGTTTTCCAAGTTTTTCCAAGTACTGAGGTGAGATGACCTTTTTTGTGTTTGTTTGTATATGATAAGAAAATATTTTAAGACCAAGTACTGAGCAGCAGCTGCAAACTTCAACTCTGAGCCTAAAAAGGTCCTGAAGTATTTTCTGAGTGCAAGGAAGTATACTAGCAATCTGGTCATTCCCATGCTTTAGTGTCAGTACGTCAAGCCACTGAAGGCTGCTGATGAGTCACATTATTTGAGTATCAGAGGGAAAGAAGGGAAACTCTGACTTGTGAGTGTTGGGAGTCCAAGCAACAAAAAACAGACATCAACGTCAACAAAACATGTAAAAGTCCCTAATGAACCTGAGACCTAAACTCTGCAAATAAGTAACGTCATGAAGTGATGCGCTGTGCTACAAGGCCTGCAGTGCAGCAGTCACTGGAGCTTTTTGGCACATGGATGAAACTAATTATTTGACAGTTGCTTTAGTTTGACCTGAGGTGGATGGCAGTGCAGGAGAGGAAAAGGCACTGCAAATTCTTCGTGATCATCTGGGGTGACTTTTGAAAACTATTGCTGTTTCACTGTTAGCATGTATATCAGGACTCTCTCCACCCCCAAGATGTCTGATGAAAAAGGAAGGAAAAAAGAAGGGAGGAAGAAAAGAAGATGTTGTGTGTAACCAGAGCCACGCATGACATGCATTCTGAACCCAAGGGATATTTCTCTCTCTTTCTCCCTCAAAACTCTTTTAACTACTGAGCTGCTTCAATACAGAGTATCATTAACAATCTGACAGCAAACAAGTACTGGTGACCATCCTTATCTTACAGAAACAAACTATGAATAATCATCTTGGGCAAATCTAGCATCCTGACAAGGTGGTAGGATCTCAGTAAACAGATTCCAGTGCCTTAACAAACACAAATACCAAACACAAATACCAAACTGCAGAGCTTTTTGAACCTGTATAAATCCTTCCAATGAACATCAGATAAAGTTGTCAAAGTTGGGGAAGAATTTCTTCTGTGTATACAATTAAGTCTGACCAGTTAAAAGAGACTTACCCTGCTATAAGCAATTAGTTATGGTGGGTCAGTGCCATCCCAGTGTCATCAATTAATTTCATTGCTTAGGCCTGCCATAGACATAATTGTTAAGGCAACATTCTGGAAAGTCATCATAGCCTTGACTATTTCACAGTCAGACTCTGTCTAGCCCATATACGGCCCAAGTTCTGCAGTTGAAAACCTCAAAGACTCAGCTGTGGCTTCCAGCTTTTATCAGTGTGAAATACAGTGTTAAGGCAGTCTGTGGCTCTGTCTCTCCTCTGTACCAGCTAAAAGACAGCTGGAATGTGGGGGGTTGGAGAAATGATCCTTTTCAATTTTCTCACGGTTCAAAACAAATGACTACACAACTTTAGGTTTCATACATTTCCATCATACTGCAAACTTACTTCATCAATTTGGGTGGAACCATGATACTTATATTTTCATTCATCACCTCTGCCATATGTCTACATCTTTCTCCCTTCAACCACATTTGTGTCTTTTACTAATGCCTCTTTCCACTTCCCTTTTCCTTTTTCTTTTACATTCCTTAATGAACTGACTTATTCATTCCCTCTGTCACACCCATTATTGCATCCTCTTCAAACACTGTCCTTTTCTTCCTTTCCTTCTCCCCCTCTCTTCTCATTTCTTTATTTCTTCCTGGACCACACTGACTCCCTTGGCCTCAAAAGAATGATGTGAAGAAGGGAAGGGGGGACAGGAAGAAGACGAAGAAGAAGAAAGAGGAAAGGAGAGAATCACTCTGAAGAAGAGGCAGTGAGAAATGCAATGAATCACTTGCATGAGATACTTTGAAAAGCACTCCATGACTGTCCAGGCTACCAGAACCTCCCCACGTCATGTTTCAGGCAGGACAAAATCCTGGTCTTGTTCTAAACTCCTTCATTTGGTAAAAGCTTTGCTTGAGTGCTGATGCATAAAACTGAAGGATTAAAGCCAGAAGAACATGAGGAGGTAAGATGCCACCAAAGCCACTACACCAATGTTTGCACCAAACCTCAGCTGTCCCCAGGAAGCCTGTATGATTACCTAGTTTCTACCCCTTTTGCCTGTAGTTTTTCTGCAGCAGGATTTTTTTTTTTTCAAAAATTAGAACAAGACAAAGCATTTATTGTTCAAAAATGCTGTTCTTGTCAAGGCTTTTGCAAACACTTACTATTAAGCATGAACATTCATTCTTAATTCTAATGATGAACTGGTAAATGAATCCAGTCTCACTAAAATACATAACAGAGATATGTCTCCAGTCCCAGCAAGTACTGTTCATTTGTCAGAAGCAAAATCAAGAAAGCCTTTGTTGCTCACTGGTGTCTTTGAGAACACAGAGTCAGTGATTACTATCCTATGTATTTTTCCAAGTTCTGAAATGAAGTCATGCTTGTTTTACATTGACCAAATAGCTTGAAGTGCCAAGTTTCCAAAATAACAAAATATAAGAGGAGTCTGGTTCATGTGTTTACAAATTACTAGGTTTGCCTTCTAAAATAAGATAGAGGAACAAAGAACAGAGGAAGCTTATTTCTCAGCTGTTAAGAAAAACAACACACAACAAATAATTTTTGTGTGCACCCTCCTCTGCCCTGTCAGGCATCAGTTGGATGTAAAATCAATCTCTTTTCAGGCATCCGACAACCACTGGCACAGAGGTGACACTGTCATTTTATGGACACTGCAACCCAGTTAGGATGGATAAGGAAGAGTCCTTCATTTTACCTAAAAAGAAGTCACTGGTAATAAGTGATGTGAGAGGCACATACAGGGAATGTGCTTTAAAGAGACTGAATAGCTTATTTTACAAGATACATACAGTTCCAGCACCCACAAACTAACAGCTTGCCCATGGATTGCCTTCTGCAAGCCATAAAAACCTGATAGCTGCAGTTCAACTCATGAAGCTACACATGTGGTAATCAACTACCTGACTTGTCACATAGTACAAAGACAACATCAATGATAATGATTAACGTACAGGGTCCTGTTAGTCCTAGCAACTCTAGGAACCCTTTACAAAATTTACACATCATTATACCATAACTGAGCCTAGGGAATACAACCTGGGCCAGAATCTGAACATGCACCAAGGGCTACTCTTACCTACTACTTAGTTATCGCCCTCACCAGAGTGATGCAAAACAGTTCTTCAACCATAAGCAGTAGAATTAAAGAATAGGCTTAAGGCAGGAGAAGCTTGCAGATAGCTTTTAATGAACTGAGAAGTTAATAATATCTGAACTAGTCTTTCCATGAGCTAAATAGCTCATTCAGCACTGCTATCCGCTACTTACAGCTACTCAAATAAACTTTATAATGGAACATTATAAAATACCTAAAAGAAACAATTTCCACTTGTCTGAGAAACATATGATAACATATTTTAATAGCTCAGAAGTATTGGTCCAAATCTGATTACCCACTCTTCCTTTCCATCTGCTTCGTTTTCGTCTTCAATACAGCCAAACAACCATGTAAAATTTCTGCCCAGAAAGACCTTCCTATCTTTTACTATTAGAATTTAAAGTCATCGCACATAAACAGGACATGCCAATCTTATTCTGATTAATTTGCTCCAAATTTACTGAAATGTTGTAACCCAAAACCATGATCTTCGTATACCAGCATTAAAATTACCTGTCAGTGTAAAACCATAATCTGTCACATCACTGTGGTATGATTACTGAACCAGACCTCACTTGTTAGCACTTACAGCAGTTCACTTACCCTATAGTAGTCTGTGCTGTACACATCTCTAGACATCCCAAAATCCCCAATCTTCACCAGTAGGTTCTCACCAACCAAGCAATTCCGGGTAGCAAGATCCCGATGCACAAAGTGCTGTGATGCCAGGTAAACCATACCAGCTGCAATTTGCTGGGCGATATGAAGCATCTGGGACTGTGTCAGCTCAGCTGGACGGTTGCCTTCTGCCATCAGTACTGCATCTGGACCATGTGCCCTGCATCAAAATATAAGCTGATAAAGTGACAGGCCACTTGCAGGCTACAGAGGTAAAAGGTATTAGTGAGACAAAAACCACAAAAGTGACTTACTCAATTAAAAGAAAAAAAAAAAAAAGGTGGGGGGCTATAGATTCATTGGTGAAATAGCAATAATTTGTCTCTTGGCTTTTTTCACTTACTGTTTTCCTTCTCTGTGTGAAAGACAGGTGTTTTGAAGAACATATTACAACAGGTACATATACTGCTCATGAAAATAAGGCAGCTGGATTCATAATACCCCCTATCCTAAATCACCACCTTTCTCCTGTGACATCCTGGTAACTCAAAGATACTGATATCAGCATTCCTATGTACACAATTTTATGATAAGCATTACTATCCAATCCTTAGCCAACTAATAAGATCGGCTAACAATCATTCCTCATTCATATACCTTCATATAATATTTTGAAAAGGACTTTCTATTCATTCTACTCGTCTAGGACTTCAGAAGCCTTTTTTATTTTATTCCTGCAAAGTAATCTCTCAAAGAGACTACCTCTGCCCTTCCCTCCTCAACTATTTTGGAAAAACACTCTACAAACAATTTTTGTTTTCTCTCAGAAGGTCTTCCTTCCTCCAAAGTAGAGTTTCAGAGAATCACCTTTCCAATCAATGAAGGTGAGGCCTTATTCATCCCTAAGGGAAGGGCACAGGAGTTTGGAAAAGAGTTGCAAATTAATCAAAATCTTTGAGATCAAATCTGACATTACTTATTAGACATATGATATTAAAATTGCCCCAAGGGAAGAACTTCATGAGCAAAGTGACAGATGTGAGAAAGAAATGAAAGAAGGTGTGTAGCATTGCTGGGATTGCAGCTGGTACCAAGTAAAGAAGTTAACTGCACTTTCTCTGCCACAGGATACAGACAAACATTCAACTGGTCTGGGTGAAGCGGAATGTACAGGAGGATATGAAACCTCCAACCAAGACTCAGAGGAAAATTCCTATTGAAAAGCACTGTACCTTTTCATTGCACTGATTTTTTTTATTATCATTTTTTCATTTTATATTTTTTTGGCTGCTCTCAGATATGAAGCCTCAAATCACTAAATTAGAGAATTCTTCTTTCACTGGTTTCCTTGAGGAGATTTGTATCTAATAAAACTTTTGTATTATTTTTAACACTCCACCCATCTTGCAGTTGTGGTGCTGTCTGTAAAAGAGGTGCTCCTCAGTGTCTGCAACAGCCAGTCATACTGACGGAGATTTCCTTGGGTTCACATTAGCCTCCACTGCCCAGAACAAGCATGAGGCAGGCATGGCTTTGAGGCTGTGGTCCTAGATCTGAAACAGCCTTTGGCTACACACAGACAGCGAGGCACATCCTTAAATTTCGGATTTTTTCCCGTCAGCCTTTGGTGGCGCTGCAGGGTAAGAAATTTAGGCTTTTACAGCCCACTTACAGCTAACCTCTGATCTGCAGCACAAGCTGCGGCAAATGTGAGAGGAATGACAAATTGGAGCTTAGGTTAAACAGCTTGTCCCGGCATAATCATTTTATGTTCTAAAGACCAGGGCTGATTAATAATTAAAAAAAAAAAAAAAAAAAAAGAGAGAGAAAGAGAACACCTAATGGAGGAAATATACTGTCTGCTAAACTACCTTTCTCTACAACAATTCAAGTCAGAATTAGGAGGTAAGAAAAGGCCAAAAAAAAAACAATTATCAAAGAATAAGTATTTCTTATTGTGACAATGGATCAGCTTCAAATCTGGCCTGTTCTAATGGAAATTCAGTGCTCTCAAAAAGTACTGGGACAGTGTCTTTGGAAACCACAGTTTTCTCCTGATCCACGGCAGAGGTCCAAGCAGGCAAATGTAAATGCCCCAACACTTAAATCCTTTGCCAAAGAGACAGTCAGTCTGGGAAAAGTAGTGCTTACTCTGCAAACACTTCCTCTCCTTAGATGAGGAGGGGAAGAAGTAAAGTAAAGAACAACTCACGGGTTGAGATAAGGATAATTTAATTAAAGGAAAAATATAATAATAATGATAATAATAATAATAATTAAGGAAAGAGTATTATTAACTAAACAATTTAACTAAAGGGAAAAAAAAGGGAAAGGGGAAAAGGGAGTGGGAAAGGGAAAAAGAAAACAAAACAAAACAAAACAAACACAAATAAAGTCTATGTGGAAGTGCAGAGGAAATAAATTACTCTCCACTTCTCACAAATGAGCAATGCTTGACTGTGTCCTTGAAGCAGGGCCTCAACACACATAGCCGGTGTTCGGGAGGAGGACCAATGTTTTCACAATGAGAGCCCACCCCTCCTCTCTTCTTCCTGCTTCCACCTTTAATTGCTGAGTGTGACATCACATGGTATGGAATATCCCTTTGGTTGGTTTAGGTCAGCTGCCCTGGTGATGCTTCTTTTCTCACTTTTTTGCCCACCCCCTAGGAATGTTAGAGAGAGTCCTGGTGCTGTGCCAGCACTGCTCAGCAGCAGACACAACACTGGTGTGATACCACTGCTGTTCTAGCTACAAGTGCAGAGCACAGCACTGTATGGGCTGCTGCAGGGAAAGTTAACATCCCAGCCAGAACAGTACACTACTTTACAGCCAGATTTCAATTTATAATGCACATTCCTGAACAGTTTTATGAATTAGACCCCAAAATGTAGTGCTTTCCACCACACCAAAGTTTCCATGATTCACAATTTTCTTGCCACAGATTAATGGCACTCTTTCCAAAACTCTCAGAGGAGGGAAGAAAAGGGGTTAGATTTCAGAAGCTTTTAGATGCCTACAGATAGCAATAGATATTGAGAGGGATCTTCCAAAATGCTACCAGAAAGCCTTCAAGAAGACTATTCTTACTGTAAGCTTTATAACCAAACATTTCAGAATACCATACCCTGGAATACACAGAAAACTATATTTCTTCAGTTTCCATTCCTCTGGGGAAAAGTGTGAGGCTTAACGTAATGGTATTTCCAAATACACAAAGAAAATGAGCTCCACGTCACAGTACACAAAATGAATGTTGCAGATTTGCACTTTCAGGTGTCTGCATTTTTAAGTGACAGGAGTTAATTTGGCATTAAGCACCAATAGCTGCCTACCTTCATTGTCCACTTCTAGCTCTCCAGCACAATACATGTTGGATTTACCTGAGGAACTTGTTAAGATCTCCATGCTTCATGTACTCAAAGACCATGATGAGTGGATCGCCCTCAACGCAGACACCATAGAACTTGACAATGTGCTCGTGTTGCAGGTTAGTCAGCAGCTCTGCCTCACGGTGGAAGTCCTTGCGGGCATTGTCACTGGCATCCTTCAGTGTCTGGCAGAGGAGACAAGGATGTGAGGAAGGAGAGAAGTTCACAGAAGGTCGTGAACATGTGGGAAGACATTGTAAGGGTAAGATAAGGACATTATACTGCATAAAGAATGGAAGAAGTACATTTTTAGTAACTGTTTTAGAAATGCAGATGCGATGTTTAAGAGCAATTTAGTAAAGGCAATAGCATTGTTGTTCCCCTGCCCCATGTCACAATATAATACCTACCAAATAATTTTTATTATAAGAGGATGTAGGAATACTCACGATCTTGCTGTTTCAAGTGTTTCCCAAAACACAGAACAAAAAATCTGATCTTATCCAAAAAAACATACTCGTACACAACTGGTTTGTATCCTTTAGCTTGTAACTCAGGCAAACCCCTGGTGTCCTGTTGGTATTTACCTCTGCTTTAGGTTCCTTAAAATAAAGCTTTGCTTGCTTAAAATACTTAGTGGAACATAGATGCATTTCTTATGTATTACTGATGTAATTACTGCTGATGTTGGTCCCTGTGGTGCAGTATACATTCAGTAGATTTGTAGAAGGGCAGATCCTTGGAACAGACCTTACAACCTAAGACTTCAGTCAGAAACTCCTTTGAAATAAAGTAAATTTACTTGCATGACTAAGATTAAGAAATGTGTAAGTAACTGAATTATCAATCCCAAATTGATAGACAGAAAGTAAGTAGATGCAGGTCAGAATCTTGGGGTGGCAGTTTTTATTTTCCCACTTCTTATTTATATAGATCTAAAATCCTGCTCATTTTCATTTTGTAGGAAATATATCAATGTTGGATCAAACAGGAGGCTTGAACTTTGTATAATAAAATAGTACTAATTTACCTGCCACTCATAAGCAGTTTCAGATCTCTTCTTAACTACATTTCATGAGCAAGGAAACACTTTCATGCACGAAACCAAAAGCAAATTCTGACACCAATTAAGTGAGAAATAATAATAATTGACAATAAACCACTACTGTGCTCTACCTTCAAAAGGTACAATGGTGGTACTGTATTAATTGAAAAAACATTTTTAAAACAGTAAGAGAATGATAGCAGGTTAACAATGTTCACAAGTTATTAATCACAGAAACTGACAGATGGGCTTTGTACCTCTGTATTTTAACTACCATTAGACTTAAAACAAAAGACAGTAAGACTCAAAACTAACAGTGTTGCTTTAACTTAGGATGTTTTTTTCCTGGCTATTTTCTACTCTGAATTCATGTAGACACCACGGGACCAACCACGCTCATCAGAGCAGACACAGAACAAGTTGATACAGTGCAATCATTCTGCCAACAAACCCAGTTTCTAGCTGTAATAATTATGGTTTGTTCAGGTTTTTTTTTTTAAACAGAGAGAATTCAGTCCACTTTACTAGTATGATACCTATGCTTCTGTGAATGAGGGACTAGGGACTAAAAGATGACTGTCAGAGAAAATGTTTTCTTCACTTATGAAATGGCAGACATAGACCTTAAAAATTAACAGCTGGGGTGAAAAGAAGCAGGGCTGAGTGAATAGCCATTTATCAGATACAGGGGCTTTTCCCTGTAGATTTCAGGCTCTGTGGATACCAGAGGCAATAGAAACTTGTTGTGCCACAATGACACTTCCCTGAGGAACCCCTTTACGAATCTCACGTGTCTTCAGGTGCAGAACCCTTCTTTCACATGTTTTATCAATAATGATGCAACAAGGATTTTACAAGCCTTCATAAGCCGTGACATATTAATATACACAGCCATATCATCTAAGGTAGATATCAAATCAGCTCTCCACCTGTGGTCCCAAGCAAATCACATCTGAATCAAGCAAGGACTGAAACTGAAATATCTTCCAATGCATCCAGGCTCTGCAGTGATGCCTTAACATGATGCAGGCACCAACTCACAGTCCAATCTATACTATATAAAGAAATCACCTGGAGCAATTCTGTTGTCAGTTGAGTCTCCTCTGTTGGCTTCATGTATAAAGCAATTGGACTGTAATTCTTCTCAGCAAGAGAATTAGAAAACAATTCATATAAAAACATTTTTATATAATAGCAACCCAGGAAAAAAAATATAGTCAGAAGCACGGGCTCATACTCTTTCCAACAAGCTCTTTCCCTGGAAAGACAGTAAAAATGCTGACAGCTCTGCCCTGTGATGATGGCTTATTGTATATTTCAGGAGAAGCTTTTTATCTCACAGAAACAGCAAAATTATCATATGACAGAGCAGTTGCCATGGCAATTACGCATTTTCTGTCAAACAGCAAAATGCAAAAAGGTCTAAAACCCTGGCAAAACTCAGAAAGGGTTTCTATTACCAAGGGCAACCTTAAGTTCCGTAACCCACCATTGTTGCAACCTTCACTCCTCTAATTTTCATTATTTCATGCAGGACACAGTATAGACCCAATGCATGAGAGATAACTGACATAGGCAAGGAGGAGTTTGGAAAATGAAAAAATTAATAACCACGTAACATTTACATAGAAACGACGGGGAGTAATGCATTTAACTTGTTTTCAGTGTAAAGGAAAAAATAAAAACAAAATAAAACCACAAGAGCACAAGACGGGGAAAAGAACATACTCATTTTTATCAATACTGACAGGTAAGCCACAGCTCTGCATGCAAAGCACTGTCACCAATCCCAAGCAGGATCTGATATACAACCACAAGAACTTTCCAACTAGTAGGCTGCTTGGCCAGTAGCTAAGGAGGAGGGGACATGCTCCCTTCGGCAACAGAAGCACTTCCTGGCTGGTAGAGGAGCTCCTCATCTGCAGAGCTCAGCCCTGTGACAGGTGGACTGCCACCCCTTGTTTAATCTCTTCATCAAGACCTTGCCCAGGTATCCATGTACAATCTGGATCCTGCAAACTTGCACTGCACAGCAAGTGCAAGCCACCAGCTTTTTAATCCACCCTGATGCCACAGAGCTGTAACCCCAGCAGCAGGGGGACCTGGCTCTCACTAGCACCAGTATGACATGGTAATGAAACTCTCCTGACAGCCTTCCTTTACACTCTTTCAGCTTACTGCTCCCCAGCACCACATAACACCTGAGAGCTGGAGAAGAGTTGGAAAGCTTTGGTTCTTCTCCGCAGTGCCATGGAAATGTTTGTCACCTAGTACATGCATCAGTCTGCTATACAAGCACAACCCTGGAGAAAGCAGTATAGGGTGAATCCTGCCTTTCCCATTCCCAGGGCAGCAAAAGGCAGCTGCTAACTTGTGTTCTGCAGGTTCTAGAGAACCCTCTGTTCTCTAGAACTGTTTGCAGCACGTTTTGTACTGATCTGATTTGAAAACTCACCTAGGGTGGGGGGAATCCCATGCCCAGTCTGACCTGTGGTTAAACTCCATGCTTGCAGGTTTTGATCCACAGTAAGCATTTCTGAACACTCAGTGTTCTCCCCAAAAGTCCCAACAGTCAAATTTAAACAGACTATCCTACTCCTCTTCCAGTGAGGAAAAGCATAAGCATTTGGGGTTGTTTATGCTAAGCCTGCTTTTGTATCTTCCCGGATTTATCTGGAACTCTTATCTCCCATGCAATTAGCAGCAGCGTCAAGGTCTCAGATATCATCAGCCTGCTGGTGAGGAAAAGGATGGATGTTGAATCAGACATGGAGATGTTTAGGCCAATGTTTTAGCACACTTGCACAAGACCACACAGTTGCATAGCAGTCGGCAAGCAAGGAGACCAGCCGTTGTCCTGAGGTCTGCAGGTAGATGAGGCCATGCTTCCTTGCTGCCCCAGTACCCCTGGCACTTCCTCACTTCATACCAAACAGACTCTCCCACTCGGCTCACTGGATCTTTTTCACTGGGACAATTTTGCTGTGGATTTGCTGAGGGGGGTGGAGGTGGTGGTGAAGCACTGTAAAACCTTTGCTGTTAGCCAGGAAAAGCAAACCTTGGCTGCTGGCATCCAGGTCTGCTCCTCGAAGAACAAAAAACAAACACTTTCAATGCCAAACCCCGTGGCAAATGTTGGGGCCTGGACACAGTCCAGTTCACCAAAATATTTCTCTTAAAGATGTGACTTTGGTCACTATCTAAGAACCAATATAAGAAACCTAAAATGGGCATAATCTGTCCACAAAGGTTTTTCTTGTCATGGTTATCTGTGCAATAGTTTTTGATGCTAGGAAGAATTGATTTGGTAAAATAATAATAATAATAATAATAATTAATAATAATAATACCGATGCAGAAAACTGACAGATTTATCACCTAAACCCATGTAGACACCTCTCCTTTTGAAGGCTGAATACTCTTGTGAATTACACTGAAAAAGTGCAGCAGAGAGAAAGTGCAGTACAGCATTTAACAGCAGAAGTACTAGGCTCCATTTGGTCAGGACTTTCAAAGGCAGCGAGTGAATGGAGAGACTTTTATTTTGCTATCAAGCACTTCTCTGAAGTGATAGAGAAATTGAAGTTTCCACTCTAGGTTCACCAAAATACAATAGAAAATTCATTCAGTTCTAGTTTTGTCATCTCGTCTTATGCTTTCTCCCATCTATGATATGTCCCTTCCAGGCTTCATTTCTCCTCACCAGTCAACATGACGGAACAACTTCAACTATCAAAAAGCTTGTAACTTTGACAAACACACACACAAAAATGCTATTTTTGATGGAGCAAGATGGCAGTCTACAAATCCATCTTCCTTTCATGTTCTTACTACCAGATCCAAAACTCTGTGCCTTGTTTCCATTTTCAAAAAGATGATCTACTTGGTTTCTTTTACTGTACAGCTTGATCCAAAACATACACATGGTTGACTAATTGTGGCTGGTCAGACAAGATTATTTTCTGATCCCTAAATACAGCCCAAATTCTAAATGTGTGTTCACCCTGCATTTAATGAGATACCTCAAATGTTGAACACCTCGTTCAGCTTTCAGCAGAACAACAGATGGAGATCGGAGATTGTTGCCAGGGAGACTTTGCAAGCTCTTTGAGTGTAGTTTAACTGATAATGTCTTCTAGTGTACATCCATAGCTGATGGTGATGACCAACCCTTAGGCCTTCCATTTTGGGGGACTAGAAGATTTGCTACTATGAAGCATGTTCAGTGTAGGAACCCCAAGACCATGCTGGATATTTCCCTTCTACTTTGGACTGTGTTTTGGAATGGTTGACTGGAGCTGTACAATCAAGAATCACTCCTCCAGCTCTGAAATATCATGACTTCTGGATTTCCATACAGACAATATTTAACAGCACATGAAAATATTATCCACAATTTTGTTATTAATATAGTGGCCAGGAACGTTATGACCATTAACCACAGATAATTTCTTTGGCTGATTAAGAGAATCACACAATCATGAAAAAAAAAAAAAAAAAGACTTCTTTGACTGGCAGTTACATGCATAACCTATGCACTTAGCTGGTTATAGATTATTTTGTTAGACACACAAATATAAAAGTCACATGCATTTTTAATGGCCTCGGCTTTATTTTTCACTAGTCATATTTTAAATAGGTCAGAAAACATTTTACCCCTTTGTAACACTGCTTTCCCCCTTTTTTCTTATGAAATTCAGCTCTCATTTTATAATCCACAGCAAGCTCACATATCACATTCTTTTAACACCTCATTAGCCTTGTGAACCTTCCACACGATCATTTACAAATAAAATATCATTAGTTACATCTACGTATTAATGATTGAAACCCTAGACTCTTTTACCTTCACTGCCACCAAGATCTTGTCCTGCTCAGGACAGAGGTTGTAGCATTCTGCCAGAAAGACTTTCCCAAAGGCTCCTTCACCAAGTTCTCTTTTAAGAACAATATTGTGGCGCTTGATGTGCTGAACAACTGCAAAGAAAAGACAAAACAGAAGAAAAAGTGAGCTGCAACGCCTGGATGGGACAGGGTCCATGCTTCCAGCCACTTGGAGATGGGTTTGCCTGTAGAACACGGTGCATATGGTAAAAAGAATCAAAGCGCCCATATGTGTTTCACTAGTGCCTTTCCCCCCTCCCCCCACCCCCCAGTATAAATTATAAATATATTTATGTTTGGAGAGTAGTCCATTTGCTGTATAAGAAGACATGGAATTAAGAATCACCTGGGAAAAGGCTATCTATCATCATATTTTGACGACTGCTGTAGAGCGTACTTAAAAATGAATGCTGTTGCAATTTAAGGGAAAAAAAAAAAAAAAGGAAGAAAGAGAATAAGAAAACATGAGCAACCTTTCTCATGTAACTTCTATTTTTGTACCTCTAACAATAGCTGAACTGTCTTGTCCAGAGACAAAAATGTTTTGAAGAAAAAGTTTTAAAATTAACCTAATCCAGGAAAACAAAATATGCCCTCTTTCAACTAAATTCAACTTGCTCTCTAGTTTCCTTATCAGTTGTTCATCTGCTTTCCCTCTGTTAGCTGTATTTCAGTTACCTTAAGATAAAAATTTCATTCTTACAAACATGATTTACAATATTGCTCTGAAGTAAAAGAAATAAAAGATGGACAAAGGTTTTAGTCAGTGTCATGGACAGAGACTTAGCTGAATTGCTGCCCAGAAGCAATTGATTCAGACATTAAAATCCTTGAGCATTTTTGTTCATCTCATTTTATGTTCTTCTTTCAGTGCAAGCTTCCATTAAAAGATTTAATATTTAAAAGACTATACCAAAATTTGTACAATGCACCATCAATTTGCAATGTTCTACCTAAATAAAGCAGCTGCAAAGTCAGTTTAACTGGCCAACTCAATAGGGTAGACTGCTTGTGTTGCTGAAATTGTACGAAACGGCCAGTATCTACTGGCACATTTAATCTAAGAGCATTTAGCTGCTTTTGCAACCACTGAAATTCAATCCTGCTCAGACAGAACCTATTTGCAACTTAAATCTGAAATGCAATGGGCTAAATAGCGGTGCATAGGCATCAGGCTGCCTTCTGCCAAGATACAAATCTCCACTGGACCACTTAACTGCAGGGACCAGGGTTGAACCCTGTCAACAATCCGGGATATATTCAAACAAAGCCCACCCCCTGGCCCCACGCTTGGCCACATGCGTGGTCCAAACCGAGTGACGATTAACTTAGAAACGACCTTAACCCCATTACTAGATGGTGGAAAATGAAGTCCTGCTAACATCAGTAGTGGGAGGAAAGCTTGTCCCCACTGCTATCAGCAGCATTTGGGGAGTGGGCCCACAGTCTGTGAGAGGGAAATCCCCACATCCCACACCCACAGCTGTGGACGATATAAGCACACGTTACAGCAGTGGGCACACATGAGAGGAGCCTGGAGCTGCTCCAGCCATGGTGCTGGAGCAGTTCAACAATTGCTTAGCTCCCTGCCCACCCTCAGGCCCCTTGTGCCTGCCTGGGGAGTGCAAGGCCCTTGGGCAGCCATGCCTATGCCTGGCTGCTGCGAGGGGATCCGGTCACCGTGAGACCGTGCCTGCTGAGCCTGAGGTGATAGTGGCCTGGATGCTGTGTGGGACCGGGAGCAGAGACATTCAGCTCCATGGTACCAGCGTGATCACCCTAAAATGCTCACAAACCCCATCAGCTTTTGTAGCAGAGAACAGGGCTGAAGTCCTGCCCTATTAGAATCAGCAAACCACATGTCTGCAGCGGGGGGTCTTTCACTTTGCTCTCATTGCTGCTACCAGAGACCTCGTACTGACCACAGCCAATTTCCTGATTAGGTCCTCTCCACTCTGAACACCAACCACTATTGATGTGTGCCCTGGAAGTAAGAAGACTTTTTACCAAGTTCCTGGAGGATTTCACAAACAATGCAGTAAAAATAAATAAGACATGTATCAAGTATTTCCCTGTAGTATACTTACATCTGCTGCTACATGCTCTGATATAAATCAAGCATTTGAATAAACAGCTTGTCCCATACCAAACTGTCAAAAGCAAAACACTGCAAGCCACAGAAGAGCTCTGCACAGAGTATATTTGCAACTTGTTATGTTCAATCCATCCCTGTTACCTTTCTAAGCTGAGCAGAGTTGCTAAACAAATAAAAAATGACAGTAAATGTGACTAAATACATTCAGATTAAATACAAGAACAATGTAAGTAAATCAAACGCATATGATGTGACAGAAATATGAGCTAAGGAAAAAATCCATTTAGCACAATCAGGGCCCCTGCCATACTGACACCATATTCAGTAGGAGGAGATTTCAGCAGGAGATACACGGAAAAATGCAAGTCAAAATCTGCTTTCAGTTAATATCAGGATAAAGCCAATTAACTCTATAGAAGTCCAAGAGATTATCCTGGATTTACATTGAAGAAACAAAGCAGAATTTGGCCAAAGAGGTGGCATAACTGAATTACCAAAGAAGTGGTCTCATAACATTGTCTCTCAGGCAAAGATACACAAACATTCAAAGGGTGGTTATGTATTTTCCTCCTTTTGACTCTAAATGGTGATTGCCCTTGAGCTGCCATTTGTGCTTTTAAGAGCATGTCATCCCTGGTTTAAAAGATCTTGTTTGATTACTGTAAAAAATATGTTACATTAAGCTAAGAGCTAAGTCAAGTTGAAACACTTAAGAGAAAAATGAAACCTAAAATATGAAGTGAGACCAAGCAAACTAAACAAGGGTAAATGCTGAATAGAGGCTGTGGTGTTAAATAATATCCATAAAAAAAACCCTGCCCAAAGAAGCACAGGGCTCTCCTGGATGACTGCAGAGAACAGGCTGGCAACAAGAAAGAGGACTGCAGAAAAGGATTTTCTTCTCATCTTGTGATCCCAGAGGCCTTCCACCAAGACAGCCGGTCTGACAGTACTTCATACACTAACAAACAGCATGTCACATTGTCAGTAATGCATTGAGGCCTTATCCTGTAAACACTATCTGGAGGCATGAGATTTCACTACTAGGTAACCTACCTTTGATGGTGAGGCTGAACAAAGAGGATCACAGCACATTCTGGAATGGGTTCCAAGAAAAATGGGCAGCTCAGGATCACCTCACCACATTCAATTCACTGAGCTGAATGTTACAGATTTCAGGCACGGACAGCAAGACACTCAGAAGCACAAGTTATTAAAGAGTTTCTGCACATAATTAAAAAATGAAATGCTGTGACAGAGTAAAAGTGTTTTCCCCTTGGTCACAAACATTTTACCACTGAACATTTTACCACTACATGTGACCATTACACCAGATAGTAAGATACTAACTAAGATAACCTTCTGCACAGCATGGAGCATAATACTGACTTAACTGACTTGTGCTTGACAGGAAAATACCTCCTGAAAGGAATTGTGTCAGTCTTTATTTGGAAGTCTGAGCTATTCACTTGCCCTAAATGTGTAATCATTTTGCTAATAAAAATGTAGGCTTTATTCTCTTTTAATTTTTAGCTTGTCTGGCTTGCATCTATCTTCCTTGGGTTTTAGTAGATTTCCTCTGCTAGCTCGAGCACCCTTTCAAGGTCTGGTGCAAAATACAAATAATCAACATCATTCTTGCTATTGGTAAAGCAAAGTTATGGAAGCCCGTTGCAGGTAAGCATTTTGTCTAGTTTGCCAGTCACTTTTTGTGGCTCTTCCATGGAAAAATATTCAATATCCTTTTTAAAATGTAGTTGTTTCCAGTTGTTTTTCACAACCGGACGTCACATCACTCTCCACCCCAGGTTGTGATATAAGCATAGAATCAGCTCCCTATACCCCTGCATATCCAAAGATCACACTAGTCCTTTTACAGCTAGTTTTACTAAAGAGCACAAAATTTACATACATACACATGGACACGTGGCATGAGTGAGTGTCTCACTGGGTGAACACCTCACCCAATTACAGTATTACAAATGCTGCAAGTTTCAGGTATGTTCTCACATACCTTATGAAAACAACAGAGCACAGGAGAGATCATTGTACTTACAGAGAGACAGGGACTTGCTGTCTGATGGACAGTAAGAGCCACAGCAATCAAGCTCCATCCTTACTGCTCACTGAACTGCCAACACTAGAAGATTCTGTTGTGTTGCATACTCACTTACATTATCTGCTAAGTCTCCTTTCCAGGATACTGTTCAAAATTTTGCTAGTGGTACACATGCGGAAGATTCTGATGAAATGTGTTTTACCAGGAGTCTAGAGAAGAGAATGAGGATCTTCAAGATGTCAAATAACCCGACAAGGTAATATTATAGACAAATTTACAGTTGCATAAGAAAAAAGCAGCAGCAGATAAGACTCAGCTTATGATGTGACATGAGTTGTCACAGAAAGACATTTTGCAAAGTTTCTTCATTATCTTCTTCCATCATTTCTCTTGCGATCACTAAGACTCAGCTATTTCTAAGATCTTGCTAGAAAAAACAGGTGTAAATGGCTGAGTGATTGCTCAGATAGTATACCAAATTTGTACAGCATTTGTCATTCACATAAAAACTAGGGTGGAATTTCAGAAAGAATCACATAGCAGGAGGATACAAAATCACTACAAACAGCAGACAGCAAGTCTAGCCCAATGACCTTCAAATTCTGCAGCAGCAGCAGCAGCAGCAGCTCTACAGTCCTGCATGCTATTGGAAGATTAGAAATCCCAGCACACTAAGATATCCACTCTCTAACATGGCAATAATATGGCAGCAACAAAACCCACCAACTTTATATAAATAAATAAATTGCACAACATTAACAGAACTTGCTTGTCAGAGTTGCCTCAATGCAGAAATAGGTCAGCTCAGTTCTGAGAGTATATTTATGATTATCTGATGTGTTCATCCCCTACAACATTTATTACTTATTATTCTATATAAATTTTTGTGTAGTGATACTGTTTTATTTTTACCATAGAGCAGCAACAAATCCTCATGCA